CTGGTTTATCTTGTCCTCTAACTCCTTCTGTAGTTTTAACATATTCTCCTCGATTTGTGTAATTCTGGCTTCCATCCTCTTCTTTTTCAAACGAGTGTTATGTGGATGGGGTGTGTCCAATACTTGAGGCGGTGTATCCAGTATTTGCTCCATTTGATGAGACATGTTTATGTTAGTTAATGTGAATGCAGAGAAAATAATAAAATGCAAAGAAAATAAAAAAAATGCAAAATGTCTAAATATATGATGCATGAAATGTCCGAGGCATTGATCCAAAAAATGTGCCTACTATTCTGAATAATCCTTATTGGGGACAAAAATGTTACGTCTGAAGAGACAAAAACTTTTTGATGGTATAGATCCCGCACAGCCTCTGGCAAGTTGATTCGTCTTCCGCTTCTTCACCGGTTGAATATCCTGTCGAACCGTTCCAGCTTCTTTGGCTAAACTTGTGCGGGTGACGAGTTGCTTGCCCCAAAAGGTCTCGAAGGACTGCATCGTCGGCTTTCACTCTATGTCGAGCTTGTTCCAAACGAAAGTGCCATCGGAGCCTTCCACCCAAAGTTTATTGATTTGTTTCTAGAATTTATCAATAATGATCTCCAGCTTAGCTAGGGTTTCGCCATCTTGATCTCGCAGTTTTCGAAAGGAGCGACCGGGTCAATGACCTTTTCCTCGTATTGCCCCTGCAAATTTGTCTTTGAGTATTCTTTGACCACGGTTGGACTTCTGAGTTTTTTTATCTCTTTGTATTATAACCCATTTGTCCATTAATGCAGATTATTCATGTTTAACAAACACATTTTTGGTGGATCAACACCTCGTTTAAATGATGCGAATGATGAAAACAAAACAAAAGAGAACAATTAATGAAAAAGGTTAGTGATGTGAAAATAATAAAAAGCAATCATGAAAATAAAAGTCCTACCACACATGATATCTACCCGAACATGCTTAATATTCCTACACAGACATGATTTCTATCTCGCATGCTAATTTCAAACAAATCCTAGCCACATGTTTGTCTAGTTCGCATGCTTTGAACAGAAAATAAAGTAGGAAATAAAACAACCTAGGGTTTGGAATGAGGTTTTTGGGGTGGGCTCTAATTCCCTGTACTCTCCCGGTTTAGGTTCTAAAAAACGGTACTCGAGTTCTCCTTGCCGGTGCCCCCTTGGGCTTACCAGACCCTTAGTCCTAAACCCATCACAGGCTTGTGTGGACTAAGTTAAACTCGAGGGGACACATTCCCTTATGCCCATACGGAGAATAAATTCACACGAAGGCATAAGGTATATGAATCCCGAAGGCTACTTGCTAGGCCCGCACGGTGAATAAATTCACACGAAGGCGTCGCTTTCACCCCCACTTAAAAGGGTTCGGAGCTTGGGTATAGAGCCAGAGATGGAAACTTTTCAAAAATCTGAAATCATTGAAAAAAATGTTAGTACAACTATTTATTTAAAAAATAATCAAAGGTAAATAACTGGAATCGAATAAATAAATTAAAATTTAAATTTACAATTTTCGCATAAAAAGACAACCGAAAATTAATTCTGGCCTGACTCACTTACCTATCCCCAGCGGAGTCGCCAAGCAGTCGTAACCGTCTTTCGGTTGGACCCGGAATTGGGCTTCGACTTGGATTAAACGAATTGGAGTCGCCACCGACCATTTTAAAACGAATTTAGGTAGGTCGGATACCATCTTACCTGATCTGCGTTGTACCCGAAATATGTTGGGCTCGGGAGTCGGTTACGGTCAAGGAATGATTAGCACCCTTGAACCGCCCTTTCGGTACCAATTAATTCACCGATTGTCTTTAATGGCGAAAATAAAAAATTTAAATTAGAATTTAAATACTCGATTCGAATTGTTTACCTTTGACCGATTTAAAGGACCACTGAAAATGTTAAAGAAAATGTTAGATGATAAAAAAGATATTAAATAAATCAAAATAATAATAATAATAATAATAATAAAAGTAAATAATATAAAAAAACAATAAATCAAAGAAATTAAATTAAAATTAAATAATAAATAAATATTAAATAAATAAGAAAAATATTATTTTAAAAGTAATAAAATGGAAACAATATGAAGTAAGAAAGAAAATAAAAAGAATAATAATTAACAAGCATGATAATAAAAAAGGTCAGAATTTAGGGGGTCAAATTGCAAAAATGTAAAATTTAAACGGGGATCGAATTGAAACAATTGAAAATCCTGTGGCCGAATTGCATATGGTGACTGAAATGGATTGCGACTCAAACTTACATGGATCGCGGAAAGGATTTAACTATCCTGTAATTACACGGTAGTCCCTGGTATATATATATATCTAAACCAGCCTATTTTCGTTTCATTCTCAACATTTATCAGAAAATCATCTCATGAGAGATATGCTCTCAACCGGCCCTCCCGACCGAACCTCGACCACTGATCATCGCCGTCTTCGACCGCCGCCCGTGGCGGCCGAAAAAAATGCCAAAACCTTACCAAATGCTTCTCTAAAGCCCCTCGTCCTAACCCCGAGCACAAGTCATGCAAAAACACCCTTAAACGGCGTAGATCTAAGCCGAAACCAATCGGCTTCCTCACCTTTCTGATGCGCTCCTCTGGTTCTGGATGTCCTTGCTTGTTTTCCTTTTATTTGTTGTATTTTTGGCGTTTTGGTGTTGGCTATTGTGGTTTGGTTTCACGGTTGATGCTTCTGTTTTTGCCTTGTTCTTGTGTTCTCCTTTACTTTTCTCGTGGATTCTCGTCCGATTTGTTTGTGATGGCCCTCTGTTTGTTTTTTCTGTGTGCTTGGTTTACTGTGAGCGGTTGTTTTTCTTTTGGTTTCGACTGGGTTTGATGGGTTTTTGTATCTGACGTTTCGGCTTATGATGGTTTCTCGATGATGGTGTGTGTTGGTACTGTTGGTCTTGTGGTGACCGGCTCTTGGGTTTTTTTGTGACTGATGATTTTCGTGGGTCTTGGTTTACTCCGATCTTGTTGAGGTTCGGTGAACTGTGTTTCTGCCCTCCCCTGTTCCCCGTCGCCCGTGGGTTTTTATAACCCCCACTGGCCGTTGTGAGTCCCGACAATCTCGGGATCGTGGTTGTTGTGGCCGGTCATCCCGGGATGGGTCAGTCCCGGGGATCTCGGCCGGCCGTTGGCACTGTTGACCGTTTGGCTCCCTGACTGCTTGGTGACTGAAAACTGGGAACCCTAATCTCTTGCTGGGCTAGTTCAGGCCCAAACTTGGACTGGATTCTTGAACCTGGACCCTGCACAAAAATAAATGAGAAATAAATAAATTAAAAGTAAAAATAAATAATAATAATATATATATAAACGTTTTCAAAAACATATAATATATAAATTTTTAAAATGTTTTTTTAAAAAAACTATATATTATATATATTTTCAAAATGGTTTTTAAAAATTATATATTATATAAATGTTTTCATAACGTTTTCAAAAGTATATATTATATATATTTTAAAACGTTTTCAAAAACTATATATTATATAATTTCAAAAATATATTTTCAAAATGGTTTTTAAAATTATATTATATAAATGTTTTCATAACGTTTTCAAAAGTATATATTATATATATTTTAAAAACGTTTTCAAAAACTATATATTATATAATTTTCAAAAATATTTTAAAAACTATATAATATACATATTTTCAAAAAATGTTTTAGACTATATATTATATATGTATTTTCAAAAACAATTTGCAAACTATATAATATATATGTGTATATATGTATAAAATAAAAATGTGGACGGAAATTAGTGTCTACACAATGCCCTTGGATTCGTCTTCCATTGAACAGAAACAATAGTGTTTTAATTAAAGAACCGTATTATCCAAAAGATCATAACAGGAAAACAAGACTCGGTATCCAAAGAGTTAAAAGAACATTCAGCAGTCAAATGCATAGAAATTGAAACAGATTTTAACAAACAAAGATTGAAGGAAGAGGGGAAGTTCTTTTTATTAAACCTTTGTTCTAGTTAGTCCAAACTAGAACTCTTAGTAGGTTGATCCAACAAGTAATATTTCTCAAAGGACATATTGATGCAAATACAAACACCTCATTATTATAATTTATTATTATATATTTGGGAAATAAACAAAAAGAAAAAAGAAAAGAAAAAAAGAAGGTGAATCAAATCCAAAAAGGGAGGACAAACGTGGGGGAAGTGGAAAAAGAGTTGTAGGGGTGTAGATAAACTACAGTAACTTACGAAGTTGAAGTGTTGTTTGTTACTGAAGGGAATTGATTCCTTGTGCCAAGGATATCTTAACAAAATAACAACCGTGTACTAGGTTTATGGTTTCAGCTTTGAACCTGTTTCTCTTCTCCTTTTTCATTTTTGTTTTGCTTTGAATTCTATTATATATTATTTCATCAACGTAATTAAAACATGATTATGAGTTGTTCGGGATTATAAATTCATAGGTCGTGGAAGTCGATGAGATGAAATAATTGGGAAGATGGATGATAAAAACCCAACATATCTAAATAAAAAAAAAGAGAGAGAGAAAAAGACAGATTGCACCAGCCGGGAATCGAACCCGGGTCTGTACCGTGGCAGGGTACTATTCTACCACTAGACCACTGGTGCTGTGTGTTTACTGATGCGTTATATATTTTTAAACATTATTTATTTTGTACAAATTAACAAGATACAATTGCAGAAGAATGTGGTACCCGGAAGCTGGAACGTATATTCGACAGATTCATGTTGAAAATTTGATCTCATTGATAAGAACGAGTTTTGATCAATTGTATTTCCCAAGCTTCTTCAATGATATGTATGTATATATATATATAGCTACTGCCTATTGGGCAAGAAACTATTGTGCTAAAATTAATGTATGCTAACTGAGCTAATTCGATAACATGAAACGGAAACAGGTAAATTCATATAAATTTACAGCCAACATTCACATGATCGGATAATATTGTTCTCTTAGATCTAATGATATACATATATATAACATGTTTCTTAGCAAATAAAAGAGATGCATGTCGCAGTGGATTGACACAAACGAAGCAAGGCTAATCTTTCTTTCATGAGGATGAGCTTGAAGAATCAAAGTACGAGAGCCTTTGCCTCTTCTTCGGAAATGCCGAGTACAACGAGTATTCAGCCGAGATAGAAGCCTTCTCCAGGACAGAGTTCATGGCCTGACGAATAGAACGTGCTAGATATTCCCTTGCCTCAGCTGCACACGCTGTTCGGCAGCCGGTAAAAACGAAATCGTTCCTCAGACGACTTCCCAAAGTCGATATCTCCACCTTCACCATCTTAACCGGAAGGGCATCGAGAGCTTGTCGTAGATCGGTCAGGAGTTCGGGTCTATAATCGCAACAGATCGATGCCTTGAAACAATAAGTCCCCATGGCTTCATCATCACATGCATCAACTCTGACCTCATCATCATCCATTGGAACAAGAAACCCTTTGCTGGCTTCAGTTGCGTTCTTCTTCAGTTGTTTCACTTGTGCAACTACTTCACCAAGTAATGTGGCCTTATCCATCTGCAATGAGCGTTTGACTTGGTTAATTATTAAAGAAAAAACGCATCGATTACAAAAGGACAGATTCATTTGTCAACTGCATTATTTTATACATTAAGACATAGACAGAACCCATAGCAGAACAGCTGCTACGTTAGGGCTTAACTGAAAAAATAATATTTTAAGAAATCATATGTCAACTGATTATATTATGATTATGTTAATTGTCAACTAACACGAACATAATAGGTGAGGAGAAGAAGTCGAATATAGTAACAAGAGGGAGTTGCTAACCATTTGTTGTAAAATAGTATTTATTCTAAGTTTTACTCAATTCTTTGGATCAAGGGATGGTAATAAATTTGATGTCTCTTAAAGAATAACTTAAGCTATAATCCGGGAAAAAATTACTACAAGATAAAGTGTAGTGATACAAGTACCTTTTCTCTGTTGGGCAAGAGAGTACGAAGCGTATCAAGATGAGCATTGATCCTTTCTCTTCTTCTCCTCTCAGCCTCGCTATGGCTCTTCAAAGCCGCTATAACTTTCTCTTCCGGCACGCTTTTCTTCCCAGCCTTCACCGGCGTCTTCACCAGCTCTCCTTTCTCAGTGTCCAACACTAACGACTGCGAGACAGTCGCCGCCGCCACCGACAAAGACCCGCCATGGGAAATCCCATCGCACGGTCTCAAATCACGCGAAAACGGATCAAGAAAACCAGCACAACAATTCTCAAACGAAAAGTTATTGTTGAAAGAGTAAGCAGCCATGTAAGACACCCAAAAAGAAAGGGGTAACAAATCTAAGTAGTATACGAGTTTGGATTTGTTGTTTACGAGCCGGAGGTGAAAGAGAGTAGACCGGGTGGACGTGTGGTGGGAGCGAACCAGAAGGAGAGCTTGTGGAGAGGGAAGTTTTGATGGTTAACGACTTTCTTGTTGTTGTTGTTGTTGATGATCAGTGCAATGGCTTCCATAACGCAAGAGGACAATTCTAGGGGGAGATAGTTTCAAAACAGATGAAAAGATTACAAAGAAAACATCCACGTTTTCTTCTCGATGGTCTTGAATTCGTCCATTTCTTCGAGATATGTGTGAATCTTTTGAGAGGTTTGAGGCTTCGAACGTCAAAAAAACAAAAAAATTTATTTGTTTTCGATGAATACTCAATGGAAATAGACAGAAAATACAAATGAAACTGCGTTTTCGAACCAAATCCAAGTAACAGAGGGAAGAAGAAGAAGAGGAGGAGGAGAAATTCTATGGAAGACTTTGAGATTCCAGTATCTAACTCGATGTGCATAAAAGGAAGAAGATCAATGCATTAAAGCTAAACCAGTTCATTTTATTAATTTAAGGTATTTTAATGGTATAAAAAATATAAATTACTTGTATAATCACACTCTTAATCTTCACCACATTTAAACCATGGTGTAATATACTTTATTTGGTAGGTAATATTTGGCTTTTATATAAAATATGTACCTATATTTTAATTTTATTTTAAGTGGATGATTGAATTGTTATTTAAAGTCAATATATAAAAAGTGGTTTAATGTTGTAAGCACGGACAAAGTCAGTAATTTGTGTTGGGAGTTGAGATAAAATCATAAAATTTGGGTGTCAAAGTTAAAAAGATGGTGTTAAAAGAGATTAAATTGAATTATTATTTCTTTTAGGGGCCAACTATGAAAATTTTCCATTAAATCAAGGCCTAAAGGTATTTAAAATAAATTATTATTTCTGTTTGTTAATAGTACAATTATCCTATTTAATTAAAGGAGCAATGTTATTCCCTGTACTTAGCTTCATCCTCGATGATATAAGGGTAGAATGGTTTTTTGACCCTTAACTTTATCGATTTAGTAATTTTAACCCTTAAATTTTTATATATTCTTTTTGGCCCTCAAACTTTTATATTTTCTTTATCAAATTAACCCAAATGAGACAGAATAGTAACGTTATTTTGTCCCCATGGAAATGTTGACATCAACTATTTTAACATTTTCTATCATGTCATCAATTTTTTAAATCGATACTAAAAATCGTAAAAAGAAAAGCTAATATTAACATTTCAATAAGATTAAAGTAGCTAAATTTTGAATTTCTAGGTGATATGGTAGAAAAATACAAAATAACGGATGTCGACTTAAAGGTGTCGTACCTATTCCATCATATTAGGGCCAATTTGAATAAAAAAAACAAGAGCTAAAACTAACACAATAAAATTTAAAGATTAAAATGACTAAACTAATAAAATTGAGGGGTCAGAAAAATCATTCTACCATTGTATAAGCCATGATAAGGTTTGAGGCTACCACATGACCCTCACTACTTCCATCACATTATTAATATATTATCAATTGCATTTAAACAGAATTTTAGTGGAATACTTCCTTTTTAGAGGCTGTGGAGGTCTTTGCCTTGTCAACATCTCACTCTTGAAGTGGTTAAAGTTTCCTTATTGGACCAACTTACAATATATATATAATTATGGGTTAATTTGGGTAGATTCAATGCATTTTGAAGATAATATTTATAAATCATACGAGCTTTGTCCTTAAGCTTGTTGATTACCTAACTTTTGTCACCACCTTTAGCATATAACCCCATTATATATGCTTTGATGGTCTTGGTTAATGCAAATATATATAAAGAATTGGTCATAAGCTTTATGATAAGTAGTGAGAGAAATGATTAGAACAAATTTTTATTTGATGTGATGCCTTTGCAAATATAAAAATTAGCTTACCCTATTCTCATATGTAATGGGGTGAGGGGAGGTAAGGTAGTAGGCTGCCCCCAACGTCAGGTTGTGAGCAGCTTCCTTGGAAGATCTCCGACAGTCAAAATTATGAATTGCCCACCATGAGACCCGATCCCACGACCACAAGATTAAGAACCTTGCGCTCTACCAACTGAGCTGGACGGGCAATTCCCTTTGCAAATATAAAGAATTGGTCCTAAGCTTTATGATAAATTTAATTATCACTTATCACTTTCAAATTGAAGTTGCTTCATTTATTTAGGGTTATCACATCATGCAATTGATAGCAATGTAATAATTTATAAAGGTCCATTGATCTTGTGGCTAGAAATAAAAAACCCTCCTTTCAACCTTGAGGTCGTGGGATCGAGTCCCACGGAGGGCATTTTATAATTCGGAGGTCTCTTACGGAAGCTGCTCTCAACCTAGTGTTGGGGGTAGCCTACTATCTTACCTCCCCCTTACCCCGTACATATGGGAAAAAGGGACAACCAACCCTTCTCTAAAGGAAATGAAAAAAAAATGTCAATTGCAAACATTTTTTTTTAAAATTCCAGAATGCAAAGTCGGTGGCGACAGACCAAAAAGCGACATGGAGATAAGAATTTAAAATAAACAAATAAAGAAAAAATTAATTAAATTATAGGGTAAAGTCACTGAACATTTCTGAAGCTTTCATTTAGGTCCCCCAACTTTTAAAACTTGCAATACAGTCCCCAACATTTATTCCGTTTGCAATATGGTCCCCCAACTTAAATCACTGTTAGAAAATTAGGGTAAATTATATAAACGGTCATTGAACTTTTCAGACACTTGAATTTAGGTCTCCAACTTTTAAAACTTGCAAAACAGTCCCCCAATAATTTTATTTTCTTATTAAATATAGATGTATAGAAAATATAAATGATTCAATTTATATTTAAATGTATGAATCATTTATATTTTTTATATATTTTATTTTTCTTGTATAAACTAGTATTTAAAATATGTTTACATTTTAATCAAAATATTTCAATATATGAATAAAAATATATTTATATAAATGTATATTTATATTTAGATGTATAAAAAAATATTCATATATTAATGTATGAATCATTTATATTTTTTGAATATTTTATTTTTAATAAGAAATTAAAATTATTAATTATATTAGAAATACTCAACTTAAGATTATATATATAATCATGAATTATAAATATGAAAAATATAATTATTAAATTTAGTTTAAAAATATATAAATCTTAAATTTATTCTTTTAAAATATTGTATCAACTAATATTTAAAAAATATATTAAATCTATCAAACAATTTATCAAATATTATATTTTTTTCATATAATATTTTTTATTGTAAAAAAATATAATATTTTCCTATCATTTATTGCTTTCAAATTTTTTGCCGAAGTTCAAATCTCATTATTTCCATTTTCCATTATATTCTTTTTTTTCTGGCATTGGTCATATTATTAGTATATGTATTATTGTATATCTCTTAACACAAACGATGGTGTTAGCTTAGTGGCTCCACCCTGTATCTTTCATTTGCGTGACTCGGGTTTGAGTTTGCCCAAGACCCAAATTTTACTTGTTTGTAACTTAATTTTCTTCTAATTAGGTGGTGACATGTGTCACCAATAACATATATCATGATCATGTGTTAACACATGTCAGATCCTGGTTAAATGATTAATTTATTAAATTTTATTTAATTTAGGACCAAATTGATAGCATATATAAATAATTAGGTGGTGACATGTGTCACCAATGACACGTGTCATGATCATGTGCTAACACATGTCAGATCCTAATTAAATTATTAATTTATTAAATTCTATTTAATTTAGGACCAAATTGATTATATAAATAATAAAGACTGAATGTATAATAATGTCAATTCCTTTTAACTGCCACTTCATCATTTGTATCAATTGGTAACGACTAGTGGCTTAGTTGAAACAGTTAAATAATTATGTTGTATGATTGATAAATTTAAAAGATCGATGACAAAAGTAAAAAGGGCTAGATAGTTAAGTTGTCAACCTAGTAGTTTACACTTTTATTTATACGTCAAAATAACATTTTATAAATTTAAAATTTGAATTATTTTCAACCTCTTCTATATCCTAACTACTTTTTTTAATTAAAAAATTTCTTCAACAAATAAGAATTATACTATTGTATTTATATAAAAAATATGTATCACATGAAATAAGATGAAATTAAATAATAATAAATCTGACATAATTGAATTTAATTGAATTATTTTGGAATTTAGGGTTTAGAATGAAATTGAATTACTTTGGAAATTGGGATTTAGAATGAAATTGAGGACTGTTTTGTAAGTTTTAAAAGTTGGGGGACCTAAATTCAAATGTCTAAAAAGTTCAATAACCTTTTATATAATTTACCCTAATTTCTAACCGTGGTTTAAGTTGGGGGACCATATTGCAAACGGAATAAATGTTGAAAGACTGTATTTCAAGTTTTAAAAGTTAGGGACCTAAATGCAAACTTCAGAAATGTTCAGTGACCATTACTATACTTTACCCTAAATTATAATTTGAATACAGAGTTTATAAAAAAAAAGTTAGATTAATCATATTAATCGGTCTTTTTATTTAAGGCCATTAAAGAGCATAAACTATCCACTGAATAATGAAAATAAGATCATACAAGAAATGAGTTACAAAATTCGTAAAAAAGATTTTATAAGTGAAAAATATTCGAATAAAAATTAACATAGAATAGATCATATAAGAGATGAGATTTGAAGTGATTCGACCTTACCCACTTCTACGGATAAAAGAAATAATAATATACTATAAACGTATAGATTATAAAAATACAAATATATGAGATCTCATATACCTGATGTATCCCAAATAACCAATTTTTTTACTTTTATCATCATTAAGTCAATCAAAGGCGAAGGATAGAAAGAAATAATTTATTATAATTTTACTTGACTATTTAAAAAATGTCAATTAAGTCGCATCTAGTCAACATTTGATGGAGGTGTCATAATGGTTAACAAAATTGATATAATTACACATTTAATCTTTATTACTTACTTATTCTATTAAATTGGTCTTAATTTTAATTTAATTCAATTTTTCAATAAGATAATGACACATCAATTCCTCCGTCGAACATTAACGAAAAGAACTTAATTAACATCATTTAAATAATTAATGGATTTAATTAATAAAACCTAAACATCAATGATTAAACATGTTTGACCAACGAGGAGTTCGGCTTTTATTTCCAACAATGACTTGTACAAGTTCATGCTTGGCCTTGATCTTTGTTTCGGGAATTCGGCCTTAAATCCATTATTAGACTTGGTACATATAGGCTGCTATCTAATAGACTATTAGTGGCCCAATTACTAACAATTTAGTCAACGGCTCAATTGGCACTAACAACTCAAGCAAAAGACTAATCAATTCATCTAACTAACCAGTAAACTCCACTACAATATCAATTCATTTACAGTTGTTAGGCTTCCGGCTACTAGATTCAACTGAAGTTCTTGAATAAGAAGTAATTCAAATCAAATCATTTACAATTAGGGTCTTTTTGTTTGGGGTCATGTGTACGTAATTGGTTTTCAGGAAAATGTTTTCCAGTGTTTGGTTGGAGTAAAACTGGTTGGTTAACGTAAAATGTTTTCCTGATCAACATAATTTCCTTTGTGTTTTCTGGAAAATGACTTACAGTCTGATTTTTCGTAAGTCATTTTCTGAAATTTTCACTTCAAAGAATAAATACTCAAAATAATTTTATTTTATGAATTTAATACTAATAAAATATTCTAATATAATTTTAATCAAAATATTAATTATTAAAATATTTAAAATATATTTATTAATATTTCTAATAATATAATATTACATTTTTAATATTATAATAAAATAATCAATTATATTATAATAATATAAGATATTATTTTAATATTTTAAAAATAATAATATTAAATTTTATGATTAATAATATTATTTATTGTATTTAATATTTGTAATAAATAATTTTTAAAAAATTCATCAACTAGTGGAAAATATTTAAACAACATATTACAAACATCGTAAAACATTTTTCGGAAAACATTTTCTAAAAAATATAATTCATTTTCCAGAATTCGATTTCCAGAAAATCAATTACAACCAAACAAATATACCCTTAGTCATTTTAACAACCGTTTCCTATCTAGTTGAGATAGTGATAGTTTTGGGCATGGTGGTGTATTTTTTGGACTTTGAGCCTTAGTTTTATCATTTTCTTCTCTTTGGAATAGCTTAAAAAATGAGCTCTATTTTATCTCAGTTGTTCATTACAAGTATTATTTGTTTAACAATTGCATGGTTCAATGCATAATTAATTCATTCTTTAATACAAGAATAATCATCCTAACCGTTTTCATCTTAAATAAATTTATCAATGGCCCATGTTGCCTAGGAAGTAGTTCTATGTAAATTTCCTCCATTGGAGATCACTATTTCATTTATGTTATCAAACTAGATATGTTGATGTCTTTCCTACATCAAAATCCAAGAAGAATATGATGATGAGATGCAATTAGATTAAAGGATGGTGTTTGGTGATGATGTATCCTCTCTCATATCCCTTGATCATTTTTATAACTTTAGAGGGTTAATTTTAACCTACCGACATGACATGATACTATGTATAGATAGAAGTAATATCTACTTGTAGCATTAGAATAATTAATCAAAGACCAGCCTGTATTTACATTAGTCTATAACCCATACAATTTTTTAATCTTCCGTTGAAAAGTTTGGCAAGCGTAAGAAAATAATAATAATAATGAAAAGCTAAGTAATTAATAGATTCTACTATTGAAGATCAATAAGGTTGACCACCTGTACAACTTATCCGCCTCCGCTTCATCGGAAAAACGTGACGGAAACTACCATTAGGCATCGCCGCATGCCACTTATCTAGTACAATCCCTTCCAACTCAAACTGGTGCACCCCATGACTAGACCCATAATACAAACACCCTTCCGGGTTCCCACCGATATCCCGACCCGACGGCTTAACTTTCCGACGACCAGCCCCCACCGGCACGTTCCGAAGAGCCCCGCCCGCCGTCCAGTACCTCTGGCAACCTTTACAGAAATGTCTAGGTTGGTTTACGTTGTAGTTATTGAAGTAACAGAATTTGGTCTCCATGCTCTTGCATCTAGGGCAAGGTATGATCTTGTCTGGCCTCTTACAAACCGTTGAATGAACACGATCATCTTCGTTTTGTTCCTCTTTAACTTCTTGTCTTCCATGCAACGTAATTGTTTTCCCAAATAGCTTGATCCCTTGTTCCAAAGCTTCTTGGCTATCCATAACCACAGAGATAATAAGAGTTTCTTAGGGCAAAAGGGTGCTTTTAGAGTGGTTTATATATAAACATATAGGGACGAAAAGGGAGAGAAATTGAATGTGAAAAGGAACGTAGCCGCCGATGCAAAGAGCTAAGCGTGGAAAAGCTTAATTATAAGCTGTTTGTCCACGTTATCACTCATCGTTATTTAGATACATATGTAAAATTTTATATTAAGAGAACAATTTATAAAAAAAATTGAGGACAAAAATAAATTACCAATAAAAAATATAAAATTTTGAAATTTTCAAAGAACGATTGCCCATCAATCTCCCTCGGTTTATCCCGACGTTATCGATATTCAATATATAAATAAAAGTTAGACAAAGAATTAATATTTACCAAAACCGGGTTTACATCAACATCATGGTAGGTTGATGGAGAATTTGGAGCTTAAAACATTAAGTTTTGGTTCTAGTGGCAACGGGGTTTTGTTTACCCCCCAAAGTATATTATATTTAAAGGAAAATAAGATATACATAGGATAAAAGCTTGAACTTTCTGACTTAGGGTTTGGAAATCTTGATTTCTCTTTGATTTGTTTACATTTATTTCGTTTGCTTTATAAGACTATATAATATATCCAAGAAAAATATGTTCTTTTCACAAAGAAAAAATGGGAATTCCACTTCTAGATGAATGGAATGATGATACGTGATGATTTCTTGAATTTTTCTTTATATATATTGAGTTTTTAATAATTATTTAGCTCTTAAATCTCTTCAAACATTATTTTCTTTAATTCACATTACTCGAACACAAAATTATGTTTAAAAATTGGATACATATAATTGTATACGGAACTGCAAATCCTTTTTTTTTATGCTTTAACATGCAAGGCATGCTGTCACTTTTCAATGCTTTTGAAGTCTCCTTTTAAATGATTATTACTCGTATAGATTGAAGAAAGAAGATATCTTTACAGGGGCAGCCATCTATTGAACTCATTAGTTCAATGTACTTTCTTCTGCTTTCTCTAGAATAATCACGTGTGTTGGTGAAAAAAATATTTGAAAGAATAAATTATTAAACCGATAATTAAAATAAATTTAAAACATAATAAATATAGAGAAAATATTTACATAATTTATATATGATAAAATTTAAATTTGAAATCTCAAAAACTTGGAAACTTAAACCTTAAAAAGACAAAACAAATTGCTAGGCTTGGTTATCCAAAAGATGAGAGCGCCCTAATCAAGTTGTATAAAGATGAAATTTAATATATAGTAGCAAGTTGCTTCTTGATTATATCAAGTTGCTTTAATAAAAATGAATCAATTAATAAAGTATCTTATCTAGTCTTACTTTGTTGCTTTATTAGTTAATTAAAACATTTTTAAGCTATTTTTCTCCTTTACCAACAATGCTACTTGCAAGATAATTTGATAGTTTGGACAAAAGAATTATTGTTGTTCCTTGAGATCGCACGTTTGAGTATTATAAATATCAAGGGTATAAACGATAAATTTCAAATAATTGAGAGTTATCTTTAAACAGATACTACATTGTACTTACTCTAGAATAATAAAAAGACTCAAAAATACTGGTCTATCCATGCCTCGTAAACAAAACTAATCAGATTTGAACCGAGGAATGCTTAGATGCGATCACACTTCAAAAAATTTCAAATTCTCTTATATTTAAAATTTTTTCTTTGTATTTTCTATTAATAATCTAATTTCGTACTTCATAAAATTTTATAACTCTACACTCCCTAAATCTTTAATATAAATATAAATTTATGCGTACGTACTGGGCATCAATTTTTGTCAACTCTTAAATAATTTTAATGGTTTTTTTTTTTAATTCAATGACGGCTAGTTCTTATTCCCTTTATTCCCGGTAGAGAAAAAATAGAAAAAAAGAATATTAAAAACATATATGAAATACCAAATGACAAATTAAACAAAAGCAAGAAACCCCAATATTCTAATCATTTTCCTTTATCTTGAGAGATTCTAAAGACACTTATTGGTTTAGTCCGTGGAGATTAAAAACCCAAAGGTATTCAAAGATTCTTGATTGAAAAGATGAAAGATTGAACATTTCAATGCCGAATAGAAGCAATGTAGTGAAAATTGCCTTTAAGATATCATTCATTAAGCAAGACAAGCAAGCAATTGCAACCATTTTTATTTGCACCTTAAGCTGGCAAAATCCTTGTTCTAAGGCGACTTTAGACTCCACCGTTTTCTTCTATATAAGGGCAAAAATTAGATGCTTTTCTTAGACATTTTAGCCGAATAGTAATTGGGGATGACAACCCAAATTGTTTAATGTTATCCCAAATTAAAGTTTAAGATTACATCTCAAATTTCAGAACAAGTTGTCCGTCCAAATAAACTAAAAAATGGAAAAAGAGAACTCAAGAGACTCTCACTTTCACATGGATAAAATCATTACCTAAATGTTGTACCTTATTACATTACGACTCACATAAAGACTGGATCTAGTTCCTTCCTATTATTTTTCATCCATTACTTTTCAATACACAAATACGAATTTCATGGTTAACAAAAGGATCTTATGTTAAATCATAAGAATGAGTGTATTAAAAAGTAATGGATAAAGGAACGATAGATTGGATCATAAAATACTTAAATACCTGTTCCAAACATTAACCATTCAAGAAATGAATGCTAATGATCGCTACAAGGTACAAGATGAATGACACTAACTAATTACAAGAAGAAACGAGGATTATACACATGTCAAAAAAACTCACCTAATTGTGTAAAGCTCGATGGAGACTCGCAGAATTTACATCCAAAAGAGTTTAATTGTCACTCCAGGTATCATCATCTTCACCGTCGTCACTCCCAACAGCCTGAACAAGCTTCCTAACTGTTAATTTAATGCTATGATTCATGATAAAACAGATGGGGAATAAAAAGGTGAAAGAGGACAATTGGAAACCTGACGGATTGCATTTGCTTTCTGCAAAATCGCGGTGACTGAGACATTGGTCATGGGAGCAGAAGTAACACTTGGCTTTGAAGTGACTGTGGGTCTTAGGTTAAAAGACTGCAATAGCAAAGAATACAAAGCAAGTAAATGAATTATACCATTTGTTGGTAACATCCTTTACACGGGATATATGACTCTGCACATTATATATGGATTACATTCAAAGCAATTAAACAAAATCCAACGGCTAAGATGAAGATATCATACTAGTATCAAGATATTCACAATCAAAGAACACAAAATATGCTCAATCTAAACCAATGGACTCCAGCAATCCAGCTTGTTCCCATGCCAAAGGAATTTCTTTTACTTTTCTCCTTTTTACAGGAGGAAGAGTGAAATAGAGGTGGGAAACTATTATATCTCAAAACAATGTTAAAGGCAGAAAAAACTGGTTATTTTAAACTTTATTTTTTTTTATAAAATTAATGACATTTTTGAAGTATTTACGCAGCTGTTTTCTGTTTTTATTTCTTTTCCTTTTCGGGGAATTTGATAAAATAAATTGTACTTCAAAGCAATAGAAATTCTAATCTGTAAAGGTAGAGCCAAATTGAGAGACCCATTTTCATTTTGGTGTCGAAGAGAAACATATCAAGAAAGAAATGACTACTCACTTTAGTTCTGATCTGATGCAAGAATTCTTCCTTTTCATCAACATCACTGCCACTAATCAGCTGATTTGCGTCTTTCTGCTTATTCAACTTCTCTAGGTTCACCTGCATGAATAAGTCTTTCTGCCTATACAGCTTCTCTTGGTCCACCTGCGTGCATAGTTTTTTTATGATTTATATACGAGGAGTTTCCACTTTATAAGATTTTTCAATGTGAAATGTTTAAAAGACAATTTTGAAAACACCGCTATAATACCTTTTTATCTGGTTCTACTGCAATTCCATTGTCATGTATTTGTTGTTGCTTAACAGAGGGTGGCTTAGAATTCTGAGAGATGATAGACCCTAAAAGTTTCAGATCAAGCTCATGTCTGAGTGACTCTGATAATGAATGTTGTCTTTCTTCTGTCACACCAAAGCAGGGTTCTGAAACCCGCCATTGTGGATGAGGTGCTGCTGATAGGGATGTGAGCTCCATAGTATTTTGCAATTCTAGATGGTTCTTTTGATTGGAATTGCTTTTGGTTTCATCCTGTAGTACAGGGTTAGTAGAATCAAAACTTGGGAGATCAGGAAACACAAGAAGAGATGGTTCTAAACCATTCCCATGAACTATACTTTTGTTTCCCCTATTAACATGGGCACTATCGTTGGCTCCTTCCACAGTTTGTAACAAGCTTGAAACAGGCTCCATTGATGATAATCTTCTTAATGCATCATACAGCTCAGGGTCCTTACTTTCAGGGGTTTCTCCAGATTCCCACTGCTCAGAATTTGACTCAGTGCAAGGACTAAGACAATCATCTGACAAATAAGGGGATGATCTGCAGAAAGTGTCGTCATCAGAGTCCGAAGCAACATCATGACCAGGAAAAGCAGGCAGTGGGACCAATTGGAAAGCTGGAAAGATGTCCCTAATGCTTTCTTTACAATGGTTCCCATCAGGAAATTGCAATATGAGTTTGGAAGTCTCAAATCCATCTATGGCGTTGAAAGATATTTTCATATGTTCAAGTGGTGGAGAAGAAGTAAGTGAATTTACAGGAGATCCATTTCCAATCTGCTCATTGAAGGCTGTCCAGGAAATTTTCTGATTTGATGTGGTCTGATGTCCATTCCTCTGTTCAAATGCCCCAGTTTTAGAAGTGGTTGGTTCAGATTCACCATTTTGGCCAATCGACACTTTTCTTTGAAAGCCATTTACAAGTGATTTATGGCCAAGTCCAAACATCCGAGATGAGTTGTCATCATTTTCCTCATCAGATTCAACAGATGTAGCTTTAACATTAAGAGTGACCGGCTGATTGTTTCCATGTGAGAATGAAGTGTTTATGCTCGAACCAACATCATTAAAACTATCAAGACTACTATTACAATGAGAAGTAACAGGTTTTGCAAGACTGGCATCCAAATCAGCTATCGGAAGGGAAGTTTTCTCACAACATGAACCCGGAAGCTTCTGAATACTTTCTTCATTCTCAACAGCTTTAATTGAGTTTCCTTCAGGTCCATTGCGCAAGGCCATAACAGTTTGATTTGGAGGACCAAATGCTTCACTAGTTTTGGCTGCAGAACCCTGACTTGTAGTTGATACAGCAAAATCAGGAGGTTTTGATGGCTGAAGTCCCAAAAGACCACCATTTGTCCAGAACCCTACTGAATGCACACCAGAAAATTCAGTATGGGAATTTTGAGAGTCACTGGCACTGTTTATGATACTATCACTTGCTGAATCAGAAACCGAGTAGCCAGAGGAGGAGGATGGATCACTGATGACAGGTTCCACTAGTGAAATATTATGAATTTCATCACTCGTGCATAAATCTGTACTGGGTAAATTGTCAGGATCAGAAGATTTCCCTGAGAACTGCAACATCTGTTCAGTGGAAAATTTCTCTGAGGGAGATAGTTCAGGTAAACTCGTGGAGATCCCAATGCCTGAAATGATATTGGATGAGGCAGAGGATTCAATTATTAATGGATGATGGTCTGCATTATCATCTGTAACCTTAGGCAACATCTGTACTGGGTGAATATTATGAATTTCATCACTTGTGTATAAATCTGTACTGGGTAAATTGTCAGGATCAGAAGATTTCCCCGAGAGTTGCAACATCTGTTCAATGGGAGGATTCTGTGAGGGATATGGATCAGGTAAACTCGTGGAGATTCCATTGCTAGAAATGATATTGGATGAGGCAGAGGATTCAACCATAGATAGATGATGAACTACATTATCATCTGTAACTGCAGGCATTCCATCTTCTCTATTCTCCGTGTTAACATGGTTAGCACCATCATTCTGCTCCACTTCCCATTTCATTTGGCACTTGACCTCATTTTCAGACCACTGCTCCACTTCTCTTTTTGTATAGCACCCAATATCATTTTCATATTCTGATTCTATTGTGTTCAGTGCATCCATGTAATAGTCTGGTTCACTTTCAATTTCGTAACTTTGGTTCTCAATAGAACTTGATCGGAGAGCATCCATGTGAGTAGATGTGATGTCCATTTGGTCACCATCCCCAAGACTGACAGCTCCAGTTTCCTGCACATCTAAGTCAAAGTTTGTCTCAGGAACTTCACCTCTGTCCCAATTTCCTGCTTTGGACTCCAATATTTCTGCCTTTTCATCCCACATTACATAAGATGGACTTGGGGCGATCTGCTCTTGTGATGAACCGTGAGATAAGTTATCATTCATAACCAGAGTTTGTTCTACAGGAAAATCTGAACCAAGGGTATCAATTTCATGCAGCAACCTAGAAGAACGTTCCTTGAGTTCCTGTTCCTCAGGAAGCATGGATGAACCCAGTTCTGAAACAGATTCATGATATCCAGAAACAGTTCTCGAATCAAATGAATTTGAACGCTCTCCCACTTCAGATGTCAGTGTCATGTCGACTGTATATGCAGTTTGAGGGGAAGAAATTTGCCCAAAATCAATTGGAGAAGTAAATTGCATTCTGCATTGTCAGATTTCTCTTAGTCTTCAGTTTAATACGACCTTATTCAATACATTAAGTCAAATGAAAATGCACATACATTTTGATGATATGGTTGTCCATAAGAATGTAAGAGCACGTAAGCAGTTGTATGCATGTACATGTAATAATACCTGCTACTATGATCAAACAATGATGCACCACGTGACAGTTTGCCATTCCTGTGGGATGATCTTCTTTTCTGGTCATCATTCACAATTTCAAGTCAGAAATTATTACAACTTGAAGGACATGTAGGCTATTCAGTTGAAACGTGAGCCCGAAAAAGTTATAACTGCATCCAGTGTACCTCCACATATAGGAGTCTTGGAAACAAGTACATTCCTATTAATTGTGACGTGAAGAATTTCATTTGACAAAGAGTAAAGTAATTAATTACTTAATTAACATGAATTGAGAGTCAATACTTGTTATGAAAATTGATTGAAAGGTAGATAAATGCTCCTCAAAATATCAGGATTCAAAGCCTGGACGGTTAATAGAGTAAATGGTACCTTGCTTTTACGAGTCTTCCTATTTCTTGGGTATTTCTCAGCATCTTCTTCAATGGAGATACCTGATGCTCTCCTGAAGTAAGTTGGGTCTGAATATCTCTTCAAACAAGAGCCAGAGCCACCAGCATCAAATCTGATAGCAAAGCAAAAATAAGAATCCAAAACAATACACAAACTGACACACACGTAACAAATCCATTTACTTGAACATGTTTTTAATTGCAAAGAGGGGGAGTGGATGTCAGTAACCATACTTGTCAAGCAAGTGCAGAGATGGAGGGTCACGACAAACTTCATAGGAATCCATAACAAAGCGTGGCAAGTCATTGTAGATGAAATGTTTTTTCTCAATGTGCATTTGAGGGTGCCATTGGGAACCTGTATAGCAAGGGCAACTGCCCATTAAGATTTTATAGAAGTTTCCATAGCTAATACAAAGTTTCAAACTTGAAATTAGTTTGTGTTACTTAAGAAACAAACAAGATTGTTCTCCTTGTTTACTGATTCTTAAACATAAAGGTGTATTATATGCAATGTTCTGCAAGAAAGTAACATACATCTAAAACGCAACTAAAAGAAGATAAAAATTGATAAAGAAAACAGTTTGAAACATTTCAAGGTCCATTTAGTATGAAATCAATGTAAACCTTCCATCGAACATGTTTTCAACATACTGGTCTCAGTACATGAAAACTGCTTGACCAAAAATGAGCTTCTCCTTGAAAATAAGTTCTTATTGACTATTTTGTTTATCAGAGAAAAAAAAGTTCTTATTGACTATTTGAACTTCAATAACCAAGATGTCCTTGTTCTCAATCCAAATTCAGGTAACAAATGCCAAAAGACCAAAGCATAAAAGCATCATACTACATGAATGAAACAAACAAGGAGAAAGTATTATGTACTGAATTCAGGCATCTCTTTAACAGTACAATCAACGCAAAAAAAAAGCATCATCTACCGAGAAAACCAGAGGCCTTCCGAGCAAAGACGTGTACAGAGGCCATACCAGCTGTGTAAGCAAAGTGTATATGACTTGTTTGGGAAAGAACAGCCTTCTCAAGAGACGGAAGCGCTGCTTCAATCCGTTGGACACGAACCGTCAATTTATGACTTCTAGAAGCTGCGCTCATCACTTGCTCTTGTAATCCATGAAAAACCTCTGCTGCAAATCTACATCATAACAACCATATCACACCAGTTAATTATATTTCTTCAAAAATATAATTGATTTTTTTAAAATAATAAGCTAAGCAGTTAAGAGAAGTAATACGAATATCCTGTAAGTTCTCGATTTGTACTAATTCTTAGCATGCAAGGAACCAGAGAAACAAATTAAAACTGTAAAATCCAATAAACCGAATAAAAGAGTGAACGTACTCAGCAAGGTCGCCTAATTGCCGTAAGATCCCGACGAGACCGGAGACGGTGACGCCATCGAGAACAGCTTTAGGATCTTCTCTATTAACTTCCTTGTAAAGCTCCGGTTTACCAAGGCTATACTCGTTCTTTACTTGAGCTCTAACCAGAGGCATTTTCAAAATTTCTCTCAAAAAAAAAATTCAAGAGAGAAATTTAGAAGAACAGTGTACTGAGTGAATTAAAAAAATGAATGGAATTATATCAAGAGGAACCAATGGTACAATGATTTAAAGTAAATTATTGTGGTGTTTCCTAAAGAGAGAGTATGTAGAGAGATTTGAGCAGAACTAACTTCTGAAAGAGAAAGCAAAGATGAAGAAGAAGGACATTGCCCACACTGCAAGGCATGCCCTCCAGATCATTTTGTTGCTGAAGTCTACACAGTCAATAACCCAGGTTTGTTGACCGAAAGTACGAAATTAACCTTTTAGTGGCGTTTGGGAATCCACATTCCTCGTTTGGTTAGTCGAAAATTTCATTTCTAGTAATGTAAGATTAATAATAGTGGATTTTTTAGGCCGGGAATGTCATTACATTTTTTTCTTAGATATTTTTAGATTATCGATGTTTTAAACTAAAATATCTTAAAAAAAATTTCAAAAATATTATTCCTGTCATTACATCTTTTACTTAAGTAATATTGTATGCAGTGAACCAAAAGTCCCCTTAGATTCACGTGCTAACACCTCGATGGACCAGATCCGAGCACCTTGAAGGAGAGCACCATCGACATTAATCTTAAACGTTGCTGATGGAGGTTTTCTTCACAAGTCAAGTGAAGATTAAGCAGGATCCGAGACAGTACCCACGTTGATGGTAGAATGCGCAGTTAAGTGACTCTCATTGAAATAGATGGGCTAACGATTCTATTGATCGAAAGACAAAATACTCGATTTATTATCATTAACCGGCGGATGAATCTTCAATTCCAAACACCATTTACGTCTTTCAAATGGCTGTTGTGTATGTCGGTGAGTAAATTTATTTATTTTTTCTGGAAACAAAACGTTAGAACCATGTTACAATGAACATGTTACTAAGATGCTTGATTATAAAAGCCAAAAACATCAAACGAAAGGGCAGACCATTACTTTTGTTTGATACCTCCGGTCATGTCTCTTTCGGCCGAGCTTTTTAAATTATTTGAACCCCACATCCAACACAAAAGCAAAAATTAAATAAAATCAGATACAATGACAAAATTACCCCTAATGTTTATACCATTTTTTCTTTTATGTTTTTTAAGTATTTTATGTCAGTTTTTTTTTCCATTTTAATATGGAGTAAATACAATATTGTATCTGTTAAAAAATAACTCTCAATCAAAATGCTCAAACTCGAGACCTCAAAAAATAACATCAATTTTTTTTAGATATTACATAAAAAATAAAAAATAGGTGAGAACAGTCTATAATGGTCATAATATATCAGATTGCTGGCATCCTCAAATTCTGCTAACTGACTATAATCAATCATTAAAGCAAACTACACATTAACAATGAAAACAACAACAAAAAGGCTGGTATCATTCCATATCATTATCAGTGAAAAAAACAGCGAACTTCTGTCAGTTAATTATAAGCCGATCCAACCATGGCTATCTTGTGGCAACTCCACAAGGAATGGTCGGATAAAACCAGGGCAAACACCCTCCTATGAAACCCACAATTTAAGTGTCTTATTAGAGGGACACTAGCCCCATAATGCAACAACCTTTGCCGTGTATCTTCAGCCTCACATTCTTCACTTCATCATCGAAACCCACAATTTAAGTGTCTTATTAGAGGGACACTAGCCCCATAATGCAACCACCTTTGTCGTATCTTCAACCTCACATTCTTCACTTCCTCCTCGTAACTGTGCCCAGGAATGGACCAGGGGTAATGGTTGCGCTCGTAACTCCAAGAAATTTTAAATTTCCATATATGTTAGGTATTTTCTTTGTATTTTATATAAATTATTTGGTTTCGCACCCTTTGAAATTTTATAATCTCACACCCTTAAATTTTTAGTATAATTTTTTATATTCGTACCCCCTGACATAAATTCATGCGTCCGTCATTGACTGTACCACTATAGTCCTTTTGATTATATTAGATCCAATTGGGTGCAAACCTATCTACAGAGATCCAGTTGCAGCCAGGGACGACGTAAGAATTTATGTTAGGGGTGCGAACTTAAAAAATTATATTAAAAATATAGGGGGTATGAAATTAGATAATCTATATAAAATATAAGAAAATACTTAAAATATAAAAGGTTTTAAAATTTCTAGGGGGTGCGATCGCACCCCAGCACCCCACTCGATCCATCCCTGGTTGCAGCAATTTTAGTGTCGAATTGGGTACTATGGATGTTTATTATTGGGGACGAATTTCTTAAACTAATTTTAATGCCTTGCTCTTTGCCTAAATTTTCACTTCCCTTGATCACCATCTTCTTCCTAGTCTTTTGTTCTTCGAATGTAGCCAATGCCATTGTTCCACCCTCGGGGACTTTCAAGAGAATACAGTGTTGAGTATCTTGCAGACTATCGTGTACCGTCCATTTACTTATTCCCATTCCAAATATGTGCATGAGAGCATCCCTTGTCATTTCTATTTGCTGTTTTTCCATTTTAAATGTATTTTTATTCCTTTTGGTCGTTTCAATGAGTTGAAAATCTCTTTCATATGTTGAAATAACAACAGAAGAGAATAGAGAAACTTTGAAAGTTGAGAGAAATGATATTACCATTGATGAGCGAAACGAGAGGCCTTTGTTGTTAAGTTCGTAAAGTAGTATACCTTAAATTTTGAAGTGATTCATAGTTTTCATACTTAACATTACATTTTAGTTTCATTTTAGTCATCCGTCGTTAAAAAAATAACAAAACTGTCGAGCTGACATTTTTTCCAATAATGATGTGACATTATCTTACAGTGACACGTCAACGGATGATGATCAAAATAAAACTAAAATGTAATGTTAGGTATAATTAAAAAAATAGTTAGGTGACCAAAATGGACCACATGAATAGTTGGGTGACTAGATATGTAGTTTACCCACTTTTTTATATAAAAATGACAACCTATATGAATCAATTAAAGTTGAGGAGGTTTTGAATTTGAAGATTTGCAGCTTGTTTTCAAATACTATGGACGTGGGCGCCAGCTAGAAGAAAATGGTATTGTGCCCATTTCAAATACAATTGCTGATCTACGCAAACACACGAAATGGTAATGCCATCGAAAGAGAACGCCAGTCAGTTTTGGGCTCTTAGAATTGAATGAAAAACTACACTATAAAATCACCATCTTTTTCCCCCAAAATGTCATCCACGAAGCTTCAAACACCCTAAGCCCCAAAATGCATAGCTCTTTACTTTCTTTAATCACATTTTTCTTTTTACTCTCTTGTTCTTCGAATGTAGCCGATGCCATTGTTCCACCCTCAAGGACCTTCAAGTACGTAAACGAAGGTGATTTAGGAGAATTAAGCGTCGAGTACCTCGCAGACTATCGTGCACTAGCCATTGCCTTGTTACCATTCCAATTATGCTTCTACAACACCACTCCTAATGCTTTCACCTTAGCACTAAGAATGGGAAGTCGCCGGTCCGAGTCCATAATGAGATGGGTCTGGGAAGCCAACCGAGGAAGGCCTGTCGGTGAAAGGGCCACATTGACATTCGGGTCTAACGGAAATCTAGAGCTGGCTGATGCCGATGGAACCGTGGCATGGCAGACGGGCACGGCCAACAAGGGTGTGGTAGGATTGAAACTATTACAAAACGGTAACTTGGTTTTGTATGATAAGAAAGGCAAATTTATTTGGCAGAGTTTCGACCACCCGACGGACACACTTTTGGTGGGACAATCCCTGCGAGCCAATGGTCCAAACAAGCTGGTTAGCCGCACGTCTATTGCCGATGGCTCCAAAGGAGCTTACAGCTTCGTTATGGAGGAAAGATACTTAAAGATGTACCATAAAAGCATGAATTCAGCATTGCCTTTGCTATATTATAGGTCATATGAGTTCGGAATCCAGCAAGGTTCCTTAGCAAATCTGAAGTTCTACTGCTCGCCGGAGACCGAACAAGCATATGCTTTCGAGTTAGGGTTTGCATATGATATGAAAGGCTCTTCCAGTTCAGGAACCCACATTTTGGCAAGGCCTAAATACAATGGCACATATTCCATGCTCCGAGTGGAATCAGATGGTAACCTTAAGATCTACACATACAATGAAAACGTCAATTGGGGATATTGGGACAACACCTTTAAACTCTTTGATGGTGAAGACCACGAAAGCCTTTGCAATCTTCCAAAAAGGTGCGGTTCACTAGGAATTTGCCGACTCCGACTGTAATCCCAGAATACGAATCCCCGCCAACGGTGATTCATTTAAACGGGAATCCCGGGAAATTGAAAGTGCAGCACAAGATTTTCTTCTTCTTTTTCAGTTCAGGGTTTTAGTACTTTACCGTTTAATATCTCTTGAGCAAGGACTGGGACTGTAATCCCAGAATACGAATCCCCGCCAACGGTGATTCATTTATGTATACACAACGGTGATAACTGAAGACAGCTATTTTAGGATGACCTTTAGAAGAAATTGGTGGAGATAGCGAACTTGTTTGGAGTCACTTGTTTTCACATCAAGTTCGTTTCTTGCATAGGAGAAGCCGACTCCGACTGGTGAATCGACAAATAGGAAGTTTGACATCTGAAAACAAATCTTTATTGTCCAAAAGAACACAACAGAAAAGAGGCTTTTTATTCAGTTGTCAGTTTTTATAGTTTTGTACGGGTTTAAAACCAAAGTAGGCAAGCTTCCATTGTACTCCACAACCTCAAATTTCAAAGGACCTGCAAATGGACATCTAATATGAGCAAAGCACAATACGGATATATAGTACGAGAATTTATTAATGTCTATTTTCGTCACTATTACCGATTCTGAAAACAAGACCAGTGAAGGAGGTGCAGCCAGGGCCACCAGATAACCATAGCAGAAGAGGGTCGTCCTCAGGTTTCCTCTCCGACTTTATAAAGTAGTAAAAGAGTTGATCATCTTCAGAGTCACCCACACCAACATACCTGACAAACAAAGAAAATATCATACACATAGATATGACATCTTTGAAACAAGTATTTTCAATAGAAAAAATGTGTAGAATTTCCCCAGAAATTGCATGAGATTACCCAGTTTCAAGTTCAAAAGGAAGAGGTCCCTCAAACCTGTAAGATAAAGAAGAAAAAGAAAAGCAGGGCCATCTTATGATTTGTTGCTGCCATTGATTTAGCTCTTCAAGTATCGTATTCTTATACTAGTCATGCATGGTTCGTAGGGATAAGCTCATTTGGATTTGTCAAAAGACGACTGGCTCACCAAGCGGTTCTGTTCGTATTGCATTTATGAGAATAACGTCGATGGAGATTTTGAAGAAAAATATTTTGAGGTGGAACACTCCCACAAAACTCTTCTTCTCCGTCATAGTAATGAGATGGGGTGAGGTCATTTTCATTTCTTCTCTGTCAAAACTCTTCCTCACATGGCTAGCTATAAATGTTTGTAACAAAGAAAATGGGACATTGTTTAGACATGAACTCCACATGGAAAGTCAGGGAGATGATCCATAGCATACAATATATAACCACCGCAGGTATGCAACTTTCAAGTAATGCATCTTATAGAGAATACATGAAGGGTGACTATGTATTCATGCGATCAAGCACACAAAAGACAGTAGATTAACCATCGGCGTTTTTATAGTCATTTGCAACCAACACCCATCCACGTTTCTCTTGATGAATAAAGAGCCATTTGCAACCTACTGGACACCTACCACTAAGAATAAATAGCCCAAGCAAGAACTGAATAATAATGTCTGCAACAGGGATGCATTCGTCATTATTTGAATTTGATGTTATCAATGTACTTATGTCATTGATTTGAAGATTTTTGTATGATCCTTGTCATTATGTTTATTATGATATTACAATGTAATTATGGCTTCAGTAATTAATGGGAGTATTGTTCTCTCTAAAGGTTTTAGATTCGAGTAGCTGCGTTTTTATGATCCTTGTATGTTTATCATAATACTATCTTATAATCACATCATACTATTAAAAGAAAAGCAACCCATTAGAACAAATTTAGATATTTATATTTCTCTATCGACTTTTATTGGTAATAGTAAACCCTAATATTTTTTCAATTATCTTCATTCCTGTTGTTGTTTGTTATCATTGAAAACTAATATACGAAATATAAATTTTTTTGGAAAATTAAAATATTATAATAAATTAGTTTTATAATTTTTTTATATAAATATTTAAATTTAATATTAAAATTCAATTTGTTAAAAAATATATTACAAGGATAATTTGATAAAATCTAATTTCAAATAATATTATATTCTCCTAATTAAATATTCTAATCTTATATTAATATCAAATAAATCCAATAAATTTATATAATGTATCTGATAATGTTATATTCTAAGAATCTTACGTAAATCAAACGTTTCCTTGGTATTTTGTTGTTCTGATTTCTCATGGCACCTGCCTGAGGGGTGTAGCAGTGGATGTGCGCAAGGAGAAGGCTTGGTTTTAAAGTACTAGTAGGTCGATACGCTGCCATTAATGACACTTCAGAAGGTTTTTAGCTAGGTTGCACCAGGTCAGCTAATCGGATTCTCTTGGTGGACGTTCATCTACTTTGTAGTTTGCTGTAAACTTAACGAACCCCTTCATGTGAATGCTTTTCGGGACATATATAGGCTCATTGTGGCATAGTCTACAGCATGAGACGAACCACTTCAGAAAAATGTTCTTTTATGAATTTTGTGAAGATTTTAGCCCAGATTCAATAGAAATAGAGGAACAAAGACTCGCGAAATCAAAGCTTTTGGCGGGGGATAGTTACCACAAGTGTTTCAGAATACAACCTAATCTTGTCCATTTCAGCAAACAGACTTACAAAAAAAAAGACAAAAAGTTAACTAAAACAAAATACATAGGACCAAAATGTGTAGGTCCAAATTAAATTACAACTTCAGTTTTTGTAACCCCCAAATGAAGGGCAAAAGGCAAAAGGCAAAAGAAAGGAACTTTGAAGCTTCAGGCAATGTTATCTGCCAACTGCTGGTTATCTTCTGAGTTCTGAGTCCAGTATCTACCAGAATAACTATATACTTTCAAGGGAACGAGTATAAAAGTCAAATATCATATTCTTCATGTTCTTCCCTGTCAAAACTCACTCCCAGATTGGCTAGCTATAGATATCTGCAATAAAGGAAAATGGGCCTTTTTTAGAGATCATCTCTACATCAAATCTTATGGTTGATAACGATGCAAAACTACCGGGAACATGATGCATTCATTGCCCCTCATGCCCTTGACCGTAAAATCTAAGGATGAATACATCAAATCAAAACCCAACCCTTTTGGTTGAGTGGAACATCTGCGTATTTTACCACAGACGTATCACACAACAAAAACTGAGCACAATAAGACTTCTAACAATTAATCACTCGAGCTCCCTGCGCATTAAACAGATGCATAGAAAAACCATTGTGCTAAACAGAAAGGTCTGAATGTCAGACTTTGGAAGAATTTTTGTAGATAAGTATGCCCAGGAGAGGAGTCACGCTCATCTTTTTGTTCAACAGAGAAGAACTCATATATATAATATAACACAAGCTTAAGCGGATCCAAAAAATTTCGGCCTCGGAGCCATTCATCGTGAATCACATTCAAAAGACAACTTATATTGCAAAAGGCAAACATCAAAATTGGTAGTTATTTAACTGTTTTCTAAACCAGGAAATGCCAACATTTTTAACCATACAGAGAACTTATAGACAAATCGTCTATGTTGTGCTATGTGCACCCCAGAGTTGGGAGCAATTTAAATGCTGAAGCATATTTAGCTATTGAGTCTTTGATGGGTATCAATAAGATTCTAGGCACATGGTACTGCCGATAAAGCAGCCAACCTCTGTTAGCTGACCAGCATTGGAGAAACATCCAATTTATGCCGACATGCCAAGAAAATAATTTAGACACGCCAAGAAAATAATTTAGACGAACAGATAAAGTTTATCTCAACACAAGCCTAAATCTGACCGGTCTGCAAGCAAAAGCTACCTAGCCACACCCCACCCTTAACACACACACACATTCACACCTCAGACCTATCAACTTAGTAAGCCTGCACACAATAGGACATTCCAAATAAGCATACTTTATGAGACTAAGGCCATCATAAACATGCATTTAACAAAACGGAATACCCAATAAGCCAACATAATAAGCAACATTCGGGAAGGCAAATGATCAAACAGGATCAACCTCCTTTTACCAGCTATATGGATAACAAGATAAGCAAATTGTGCCACTTCTGTTCAGTCAGTCATTTCCAACATCAAAAGAAACATAAAACTAAAAACTTTTAATGCTCTGGCATATAATCTTCAAACTGAAATCAATTGAAATGCATTTTGTATAGCATACATGAAGGGAGACCAGGTATTCGTGCAAGGTTCTACATCAAACACACAAAATATAGTAGTATAACTATGAATCAGTCAAAATCTACAGCCATTTATACTTCGAAGAAAGCTTTCAACAGAAAATATTGAACAGATTCAAGACAGCACTCCACAAGAAGCATAAAAGAGGACAGCAAGGTCACCCTCTTTGGGGAAGAACAGCATCACTGAGGAATTAACTGCCCCTGTTTATTCCAAAAACATACCACAAACTGATGCATCACTCCATGAAAGAACATTACCCTACATATTATCAATACTGATTTCAACACCCACTGACCAGTTCCCTTAAAGGTCGTCCATCAAACTAAGAAAACACAACACACAACAAACTGAGGAAAATGGTTCACTACCAGTATTAACAATTACAGCTTTGAACATCTTCAAGTTCTCATGCTAGAATCTTAATAATAAGATAAAAGACTCTCCAAATACGAAGTGGGTAGTCCACCTCACTTCCTCAATCACTAAACAGAGCACATAAGAATCCACATAATTAAAACCCAATAAGTTAAAACCCTTATTATTTCATTCCATCTAATGGTCAAAACACATTTAAAAACATAAGCAAAAAGCATGGCGACCTCGGTAGTAAAGGAATTATTGTTATTCCTTGAGGTCTTAGGTTCGAGACCCATGAATGCTAGGGTATGAACGTTCAGTAACAAATGATTGAGAGGTATCTTTGAACAGATAATGCACTGTATTTACCCGTATTAAAAAAATATTTTAAAAATCCAAGAATAACTAGGAAACATAACAAATACAACAATATATAAAGCTAAACATATGGGGTGTTATAAGGAAGAATAGGCCTCACCACAGGAACCCGAGGATCATTTATCACGCCTGATCTTCTCGAGCTGCACCTTCGTATCCATTAACATCCTCATCCTCTGCACTTCCAAATCTTTAGCAAATTGCATTCTTTGCTTCTCCAATTCCACCATCTGCCTCAGCTTCTCCCCTTCCACTCTTTCATACATTTGACCAAACCTTTCTATCGCTCTTGCCAAACTCTTCATCCCTTCCCTCTCCTCTCCTTCACCTTCACTTTCCTCTCCCTCACTTTCCTCTACCTCTTCCTCGTCGCTCTCTACAGCAGCAGCAGCAGCAGCAACGGCGGAATAATTTCTATTGAAATACCCATCGTCGACAGCCGGCCTCTTCTGTGGAAGCGAGACAACCGTAGCCGGCGCCGGAGTCGTCCTGTAGGGCAACGGAAGTGGAAGAGCCACCGGAGGAGACCCGGGAATCCCGGGTGACAAACTCGGTGATGGCTTCGGTGATATCATAGGCGAAGGCGAAACCTTTTTAGCTGAAAAATTAGATCCGATAAGAGAATCCAATCGTTCAAAGAACGGGCACGAAGACGTTAGGGTTCCATTAGAAGCCGCAATCCGTGTCTTCTCGATCTTATACTTCTTCTTAATGGTATCAATCCGGTTCTTACACTGAACATCGGTACGATGCGTCTTCTTAGTATGACCGTGAAGAGCATTAACAGCGCCGGCAACATCCTGCCAGTCCTTCTGACGGAGGTTCCCACGGTTAAGCTCGACGTAACGGCGACTCCAAGTGTCGATGAGGGTAGACGAAGCTTCCTCCGACCAACAATCTTCACGGACAGGTAACGTACGTGATCTGGGAGTGGTTGAAGGAGGGGTGATTATAGCTAACGGAGTAACGGAATCGGTGATATCGGCCATCGAAAAGATGAACAAATGAGGGTTGGGTTTTGATTAGGAGGGGGAGAAATTAGGGTTATAGATTTAAAAAGCGGTTCGGCGATGGCTCGGCCGACACGTGAGAGTAGGGAAAGGGAAGAGAGAGAGAGTGCGCGCGCGAGGTGGGGTGACTGGTGACTGGCTGGCTCATCATCGGATTAGGCTCGGCAACGACTAGAGTAGTTGGCATTTTTTGACGTTATCTCTTCTTTTTCTTTTTCTTGCTGCTGGCCTGATTAACGTCCCCGGGATATCCACTTTATTTTATAATTACTATACTATTATGATTCTTTATTTAAATGACATTTTTGTTATCATTATTATTATTAATTAAATCATTTTGATATTACGATATATATATATATATATATATATATATATTTAACGAAATAGGGACTGATTGGAAAAAAATAAAAGGATATTATAATAATTATAAAGTACATAAATGATCCCTTGACTATAGGGTATTGTTCTATTGAGTTCTTTGACTATTAAAAATTATAAAATGGTTCTTGATAGTATTGTTTTATTGAGTTCTTCGACTATTAAAAGTTATAAAATGATCACATGATTATTCATGATGTTTCAAACTCGTCCTTTTTCGTTAAAATATTAACGATGGTCTGAGTTGAACGTTAACATGTTAATTGAAATATGATAATCGTTTGAGATTATAAGATCAGATTTTATCATATTTTGATAAGCATGTTAACGTCCAACTCAGATTACCGTTAACTTTTCAACAGATAAAGATGAGTTTAGAATATAATGAATAGTCGGGTAATCATTTTGTAACTTTTAATAGTCGACAGACTCAACAAAACAACTCTCTATAATCGAACGACTATTTTGTAACTTTTAATAGCTTAACAAAACATCATATAGTAAAAGAATCATTTATGTACTTTACTCTTATAATAATTATTTCTAAATGTAAAGATTAATTATATTATTATTTCTAAATCGAATCCAAAACAATATCTTTTACTTTAAACTCAAATCTAATCCCAATTTAAATTTTCAATAAAAATTAATCTTATTGATATAAGTAGAATTAAAATTCATCATATTTAGATCGAATATTTAAAATAAAAAGAATGTCCAAATTCCGATTCATGGGCCAATAAGGGAAGCGTTGAGAGGCGGTTGCGTCGATGTTTGGGAATGATTTTGATGAACGGCCGCCGACTGATGCGTTACGTGAGTCTCACGGATACTTGGACTTTTGGTCTTGGCTAGCGCCATTTAGCTAAATGGATACAACCCAATCAACCTTGTGCATTGCAGCAAAACACAGACTTACAAGAGACTCAATAACTAAAACAGAAGAGATTTGGACCAAATGTGTAGGTCCAAATTAAATTACAACGACTTCACTTTCTTTCTTTTTTTGTGTCCCCCAAATGAAGGGCAAAAATCTCCAGGCAATCCTTATCTGCCAATTGCTGGTTATCTTCTGAGAACCCAGTGTCTGCTACAAATATCTATATATACTTTCAAGGGATGAGTGTAAATGGTGAAATATTATATTCTTCATGGAAATATCTGTCAAAACTCTTCCCCAGACTGGCTAGCTGTAAATATCTGCAACAAAGGAAAATGAGGCTTTGCTCAGCTTATGTATGCAAGAATCATGTTAAACAATGCAAAACTGGCAGGGGGATAATGCATACAACAATGATCAAAAGTAGCTTCTGTATACAAATGCACCTCATTTCCTTAACCATTCATAGGATGAATACTTTAAATCAAGATTCAACCCTACTGGTTGAGTGGCATATTCTGCGTTTTGCCGCAGAAATACCTCACACCAAAACCTGAGCAGGTCGATAAGAGTTTGAACAATTAATCATTCAACCCGCTGTCCCTGTGTATTAGATAGATACTTAGAACAACCATTATGCTAAATAGAGCGGTCTGGATGTCTGACTGGAAGAATTTTTGTAAATAAGTATGTTCGGGAGAGAAGTCGCACACATATCTTTTTTGTTCAACAAGTGAAGGGACACCAGGTATCATGAAAGGTTCAACATCAAACACACAGTAGAGTGTAGACAGTAGTATAATTATGAATCGGCAGAAATCTAGACATGTATACAGTGAAGAAAGCTTTGAACGGATTCCAAAACAGCACTTCCACAAAGCATAAAAAAAAAGGACATCAAGGTCACTCCCTACGTAGAAGAACAACATCATTGAGGAATTCACTGTCATTGTTTAATCCAAAAATATATCCCAAACCGTATATCACTCCGTTGTATCATCAATACTGATTTCGAAATGGGGTGACCAGTTCCCTAAAAGGCCATCTATAAAATCAAATAAAGCAAACATAACACAACAAACTGAAGAAAATGGTTCATTACCAATATTAAACAATTATAGCTAGGGATGGCAGTATCACCCGAATCCGATGGGAAAACCTGAAACTCGGTCAAATTTAGGTCGGGTTGAATGATATCGGGTCGGGTTCGGGGAAAGGTATCCCCGCCCCGCCCTGATTATATATATATATATATAATATATAATATTTTTTATATTAATTATATATATAATATTTTATATTTTTTATATTAATTATATATAAAATATTTTCGGGTTCGGGTATAATATTTCGGGTCAGTTCGGGGCAAGAAAAATCCCCGACGGGACGCCCCGATAAAAAACCCGTCGAAGATTGGGTCGGAGTTGAAGATGGGGATTCATTTCGGGTTCGGGGACGGGGAGAGCAAAACCCGCCCCGAACCCGACCCGTTGCCATTCCTAATTATAGCTTTCAACATCTTTAAGTTCTCATGCTAGAATCTTAACGATAACATAGACTATCCAAAAATAAAGTGAGCAGCCCCACTCACTTCCTCAATCACTAAACAAAACCCAATAAGTTAAAACCCTTATCATTTCATTCTATCTAATGGTAAAAAAACACTGAAACAACTGAGCAATAAAAAATTGATTTTAAAATCCAAAGTAGCTACAAAAGCACAAGATAAATGAACACATTACATGAAAATATACATCTTAATCAATCAAATAACAAATACAATATATAAAGCTAAGCATATAGGGGGTTTACGAGGAAGAATAGCCTCACCACTGGAACCTGAGGAACGTTTAACACGCTTGATCTTCTCGAGCTGCACCTTCGTATCCATAAACATCCTCATCCTCTGCACCTCCAAATCTTTAGCAAACTGCATTCTTTTCTTCTCCAGTTCCACCATCTGCCTCAGCTTCTCTCCTTCCACCCTTTCATACACTTGACCAAACCTTTCTATCGCTCTTGCCAATCTCTTCATCCCTTCCCTTTCCTCCCCTTCACCTTCACTTTCCTCTCCCTCTTCCTCGTCACTCTCTACAGCAGAAGCCGCTGCAGCAGCAGCCACGGCCGTAAAATTTCTCTTGAAATACCCATCGTCGACAGCCGGCCTCTTCTGCGGGAGTGCGACAACCGTGGCCGTGACCGGCGCCGGAGTTTTCCTGTACGGTAACGGAAGCGGAAGAGCCACAGGAGGAGACCCGGGGATCCTCGGCGACGGCTTCGGTGACATCTTAGGCGACAGTGATACCTTTTTAGCTGCAAAATTGGATCCGATGAGAGAATCCAATCGTTCGAAGAATGGCCACGACGACGTTAGGGTTCCGTTAGAAGCCGAAACCGTAGTCTTCTCGATCTTATACTTCTTCTTGATGGTATCAATCCGGTTCTTACACTGAACATCGGTACGATGGGTCTTCTTATTATGACCGTGAAGAGCATTAAAGGCGTCGGCGACATCCTGCCAGTCCTTCTGACGGAGGTTCCCACGATTAAGCTCGACGTAACGTCGACCCCAAGCGTCGATGAGGGTGGACGTAGCTTCCTCGGACCAACAATCCTCACGTACGGGTATACGTGAGCCGGGAGTGGTTGAAGGAGGGGTGATCATAGCCAACGGCGTAACGGAATCGGTGATATCGGCCATTGAAACAACGAAAGGAGGAGGGCTGTTTTTTTATTAGAAAGGGAATAATTTAGGGTTAGTGATTTTTAAAAAGGGTTCGGCGATGACTCGGCCGACACATGAGAGGAGCGTGATAGCAGGGAAAGGGAATAATAGGGGAAAAGGGGGGATCGCCGGGATGCGTGAGAGAGAGAGCGCGTGAGGTTGGGCCGACTGGCTGGCTCAGGTGGCTCGGGTCATTCATCGGATTAGTCTCGGCTACAACTAGTCCAGTTGGCATTTTTTTCACGTTACCTTTTTTGTTGCCGCTGGCCTGCTTAACGTTTCCGAAAACAGCTTAATTAACAAATTGATGCTTAAAGTTATACATTTTTCCTATGTTGGTACTTAAATTATTCTTTTAATTGAAAGTGGTACTCAAACTATTCTTTTGTGGTCCGAATCACCCTTAGAGTTGTAAATGAGATGAGACAGATCGCGAATTATTCGAGATCGACTCGATCAAGGCTCGATAAATACTCGGATCAAATGGACTCGAGTCGACTCGTGCTAGAGCTCGAGTTTTTAACGAGCTGAAACGAGCTACTCGATATTCGACTCGAAAAGCTCGTGAGAAGATCGAAAATATAATATATTAAGATTTTATTTTTTAAAATAAATTATTAATAATATTAATATTTATGTATTGATTTAAAAAAATACAATAAGATTCCATGTATTTAAGGTTCATGTTCGAGTTTGAGTTTGAGGCTTCAATCGAGTTAAGTTTAAGATTTTTTTTTTCATTTCGAGTTTTTTCGAGTTGCTCACAAGCTTCAGTTCAGGATTTCGGGTTCGAGTCGAGTTTGAAAATTTTAAGCTCGCGAGTTTTCAAGTCGAGTCGAGCTCCATTTCAAAATTTTCGAGTCGAGTCGAGCTCAGCAATACTCTATCTCGACTCGGCTCGTATTCATTTGTTTATTTTTTAAGGTGTTTATGTTCGTTTGTGTTCGTTTATTTATTTTTGAAGATATTCGTGTTCGTTTATTTATTGTTCACGAACATGTTCGTTTATATGTTCATGAAAGTGTTCATTTAGCGTTCACGAGCATGTTCGTTTAGTGTTCGTTTATCGTTCGTTTATATGTTCAATTTTTAGTTTTACCAACTTAAACTCCTTAAAATTCACAAGTCAAATTTTAACTTTTACCATGTGTTCAATTTAGTCCCTACTTTCACCAATATTCAAATGTAAAATGAAAAAAAAAATGAGAACTGGGCAAATAAGTTTGTTCATGAACATAAATAAACAAGTCAATAAATGAGCTTGTTCGTGAACATAAACGAACAAAACAATCATTTGTTCGTGTTCGTTCATTTATTAAATGTACATAAATTTTTTGTTCATACTCGTTTATTTAATTTAACAAACAAACATAAACGAAAGTTATACGAACACTTCAAGAACAATTCACCAAACACTCTTCATTTACACCCATATATATATATATATATATATATATATATATATGCCTCCATTGCCTTCAAATTAGCACAATTAATATTTCCAATTTACTGGGTCTAGCCCATTTTACAACAAGCTATTGAAATCGAAAATTTTCCCACTGGATCCGACCTATTTTCTGCTTCTTCTCCACTTGAGCCCATTACAGAATTCAATTCCTACTAAAATCGAATCTTCCATGAGGCATAGGAGTTTGACAATTGTGCTGTATTTATGCAACCATCGCTTGCCTCATCTAAGTACTTGAAAACCCAGATCCTTTCACTTTGATCGTCGGTTAATCCAACGATGCCCGTTTTCAAAACCCCGTTCAACGGCTACTCCGTTCGGTTCTCCCCCTTTTACGAGTCCCGTTTAGCCGTAGCTACCGCTCAAAACTTCGGCATATTAGGTAACGGCCGTGTCCACGTCATCGACCTCGCCCCGACCGGCCCCGTCATCAACGAGCTCATTGCCTTCGACACGGCTGATGGTGTCTACGACGTCGCCTGGTCCGAATCCCACGATTCTGTCCTCGTTGCCGCAATAGCCGATGGATCTATCAAGGTCTACGACACCGCTCTCCCTCCTCAGTCCAACCCCGTCCGCTCCCTGAAAGAACACGCCCGTGAAGTCCACGGTCTCGATTACAACCCGACGCGCCGCGACTCGTTCCTCTCCGCTTCTTGGGACGATTCTGTCAAACTATGGACCCTCGATCGGCCCGTTTCCCTACGTACTTTCCGTGAACACGCGTATTGCGTGTATTCCGTCGCATGGAACCCCAAACATGCCGACGTTTTTGCCTCTGCTTCCGGTGACTGTACAGTAAGAATCTGGGACGTTAGGGAACCTGGTTCGACGATGGTAATCCCTGGTCACGAACACGAAATATTGTCATGTGATTGGAATAAATACGATGAATGTTTAATTGCCACTGCTAGTGTAGATAAGAGTATTAAAATTTGGGATGTTAGGAACTACAGGGTGCCGGTCTCTGTCCTTAATGGTCATGGTTATGCTGTTAAGAAAGTTAAGTTTTCGCCCCATAGGAGGAATTTGCTCGTGTCTTGTTCGTATGATATGACGGTCTGTTTGTGGGATTTTATGGTGGAAGATGCACTTGTCGGAAGGCATGATCACCATACCGAATTTGCGGTCGGGGTCGATCTCAGTGTTCTCGTGGATGGGCTTATGGCTAGTACTGGCTGGGACGAGCTTGTTTACGTTTGGCAGCAGGGGATGGACCCGAGAGCATCTTAAAAGTGTATTCTTCACACCTTTTTTCTTCGTTTCTGTTTGCTTTTGTGTAATTCATTTTTATATATTGAATACTCGAATGGTTTCGACATTTGAATAGGTAAAAAGTGATGAATGAGTAAATGATATACTTTGGAAGGGGATTGGGTGATGGGGACATGATGCTGTTGTATTTAATTGTAATTTGGTTTGGCTATGGCATGGCTTTGCACAATTGCATCATGTTCTCGATGAGTAAGTAATGTTAATTGTATTGGATTTCGGATAGGATTCCTCTGTATATCAGTTCTAATAAAGCAAAGGCGTTTTTATTTTCTTCACACAGTTTTATTTTGCCTTCCTTCTCGGTTCAAAACCGTATGCTAGCAAGCGGACTGTATGAGACTTAAGAGTGCTGATATTGAATTCTTATGCCTCTGTAAGCTTGAAACTGAAACTATACGCCATAGTCAATATTTAGACATTGATCATCTGCATTTAGTGTGTATTAAACAAATAGAACGGAGGTGTGATCCTTGGGGATGGTTTTGTTCGTTCCATACCTAAACTTGTTGCTGCTCAATCCCGTCAGCTTCTTCTACAGTTAGTGGCAGAGCTGTTTAGAGTCATTTCTGCCTCTGGTTGATTAATGTTTTGAGAAGCCTACCTCCCTTTTTTTGTCGATCTTGCCGGTGTCAGTTTAGTACATTATATGGTTAGTTCATAGAATAAACTCATCCATACTTAACCTTTTGCTTTTGCTTTGGACTTTCAACATCTTTACCTAGAGCTATTAGGATGATTATGCAAATTAGAATCAAATCATAGCTAAAGCATTAGATCGTTCAAGGAACCTATTACAAATAGGATCAATTTCTTGATAGTTCTTGGCAGTGTTTAGGATATATGTTCTTGTAGATATTAGTCAAGGCATTTAGTTAAAACGTTTCCTTTGTTTCTTCTGATGATTCAAAAGGATAGCCCTTGAATACCATCGGGCTCCCACGGTTAAGATTAGCCAAATAGCTCCTCACCAATATGGAAAAAAATCGAGTCGTTCCCGCTCGAATGTGGGAGAAGTCCAGCATATTGGTCAAGACAGTAGATGTGTGAAATCTATTTAGAGTTTGGTCTTAATGACTCGGATAGCATGCCATTGAAGATAACTAAGAGAATCTGGTGCAAGTTAATTTGAGTAAGACTGGTAAACATGATCCTAGATGCTGCTGGTATACCATTGGCCGACTTGCACGTTACAATACCAGGACACAACTTCAAATATTTATAATAATGTAAACTTTTCTCGTTTCTTATTATTAATTACTCAATCATTGTATATGAGAAACATGTTCTACAATATTTTATACCTAGCAAAAGCCAAAATTGTAAAAGAACATTAGGAAGAACAACCATCTTATCCTTGTTCTATTGAGTATTTGTAAAAGAACATTAGGAAGAAGAACCATTTTATCCTCATCATTACATGACATACAATTAGTGATCGATCTAAAAATATTTTTTTGGAGGGAACACATATATTGGTAATAAAAAAATTGTATGTGGCAGACATAATAAATTTTAGGGTTAGCACTATCAATAAAATGAATGAACGAATTTTAGCCGCCACTGCATGCAACAATGATTTATTTACTGATCAACGAAAATGGGAAACCATCTTATCCTTGTCCCATTGATCAACGAAATGGTAAACCATCTTATGCCTGTCCCATGTAGCATGTACCCTTTAATTGAAAAGATGATATATTAAAGAAGATAAAAAATGTGTCACTAAAATTAATCTTCACTTATTATCTTAGGTAAATTAGATAGGTGACCACTCAACTATTGTCATTTTTCATTCGTACCATCGATTTTTTGATTTAGTCAATTAGACCATCAAATTATTTAAATCCTTCAATCAAGTCACTTGTAATTAACACCTAACAAAGTAGGTGACGTGGAGTTAAAACATTTTGGTATAATTTCAAATTTGGTCTTGTTACTTATATATTCTATCAACTTTGTCTTAAATTTAATAAATTAAAATAAATCTAACTCTTGAATCAGATGGCGTCATGTGTCATTGGTAATTGGTGTCATGACACGTGTCATCATTCGATTGGTGAAAAATAAATCTATTGAATTAAAAATAAATTAAAATAAATTTGACCCTTCAATCAAATGATGACACCTATCACCAGTGACATATGGCACCATTTGAGTCAAGGATTAAATTTATTTTGATTGATTAAAAGTAGGATCAAATTGATAGAATATAAAAAAAATAGGGACTAAATGTGTAATTATACCAAAATTATTAATGGTCACATTATCATTAAATTTTAACAACGGGTGGTTTGATTTAATTATTTAAATAATTGGATGGTTGATTGACAAATCAAAACATCTATGATCAAAATTAATGAGGTAAATAGTTGAATGGTCACTTGTGTAGTTTACTGTGTTATCTTTGAGAAAAATGTGAATATAAGTTTAACAAGTTGGTTCACGTGATAATTTGGTTGATTATTTATGAAATTATTGTAAACTTTTAACATTTAAAAAGTTGGTGAATACATTAATGAAATTATCTCAGTGGTTAAAATGATAATTGCTATCTTTAAATGTCTTATGTTTGAGTATCAAAGACTGTAAAGATGTTTGAGCTTTCATTGTTAAATGATTGAGAATCTTCAGAATATATATTACCTTTTAATCACTTAAATTAATAAAAAAATTGGATAAATTTTAAAAATATATATATTATATAACTCTCATATTGTTTGTATTATGAGCTTTGATGTTCGTATTCATATAACCTATGGTAATTGAAATTCTTTAAAAAGAAGTCATGTAGAAACTTATAGTGCACAAGAAATACAGAAATTATTTCCCAGTCTCATATCATATTCTATATTTTCTCTTTAGTCTCTTTTATCCTTATGATTTTTTTTTTATGATTTTATAACAATTAAAAATTTATTTAAATATAATATAAATGTTTGTTTAAATACAATTTAAAAATAACATTTAGATTTAAAATTAAAACTTAATTGAAAATTAAGGGTATCTTTAGATGTTCAAAATTTTTTAGTCAAAATTAAAATAATATTGTTTTTAAAATTAAATATAATAATATACTTCACGAGAGTAGTGCTATTTTTGAGATTTCCGTCAAGGAAGGATCACGAGAATCATGCAGTTTTTATCTTCTTCGCGTCAACGGGAACCGTCAACCCCCCATAATAATTCTACTACTACTACTACTACTTTTTAGCTTACCCTTATTACCATATTGTGGACACTAATTTTTCCATATCTTTTTATTTATTTATTTTATACATATATATATATATATATATTATATAGTTTGCAAACGATATTTGAAAATACGTATATAATATATAGTTTTTAAAATATTTTTGAAAACTATATAATATAGAGTTTTTAAAAAAACGTTTTAGAAAATATAGATAATATATAATTTTTAAAATCATTTTTGAAATCTTATATAATATATAATTTTGAAAACATTTTTGAAAATTTATATAATATATAGTTTTGAAAATATTTTGAAAACATTTATATGTTATATGGTTTTTTAAAAAAACATTTTTGAAAATATATATAATATATAACTTTTAAAACATTTTTAAAAAATACATATATTATATAGTTTTTTGAAACGTTTTTGAAAATACGTATAATATATAGTTTAAAAAAAATATTTTGAAAATTTATATATTATGTGCTTTTGAACATTTTTTATTATTATTTTTATTATTATTATTATTTCTAATTTATTTCTTTGTTTTTTTCAGTCCAGGGTCCAAATCCAAATAGTCCACCGAACGGGCCTGGCCCAGCCCAGATTCCACGTTAGGGTTTCCAATGTTTGTCATCAGCGCCGCAAGGAAGGGAGCGACACAGTCAGTGCCCAGCGCACTTCCCGGCCACCAACGGGACTGAACCATCCCGAGGCGGCCGGCGTGGAACAAGGTATCACAACATCCCGTAACAAGAACCCCGGAAAATCCGGGATCGACCCCAAGATAGCCGGAAACAGCCCCCATCGGGACTGTATAAATACACAACAGTACCCACGGCGAAGGGGGGAACACAAAAAACCACAGTACATCGAGAAACAACAGACCACAATCGAGTACACAAAGAACCACAACCATCACACTACACAACGATACCCAAAATCGACAGAGAGACAACAACAAAAAATACCCACACCACAATACACATCATCGAGAGCCACAACAGCTATCAACAGTACCAAAACAAAAGCCACACACACAAGAAGCATAAAAACCGAGGCATCAACCGAAGAAACCATCGGAAAAGCGAACGGTCGTCGGAGAAGGTAAAAAGTCGAGGCTATTTTCCTAGATCTACACCGATCTATAGGGATCTTGGTGATTTGGGCTACGGTTTTGGTTCTACGGAGACGAGGGGAGCGTTTTGAGGCTATTTAGATTTTTTTTCCGGCCACCGTCTCCGGTGGCCGGAGCAGCGGCGAACGGTGGAGTGCATGGTCGTGATATGGGGCTTGGTTCAGAGAGTTGAGAGGATGGGAAGATGACATTTTGGGGAAGAGGGAAAAATGAGAGGTTTTAGCCTGATTTTAGGTTATATACACGGCCCATCAACCCGTTTCTGGATCCGCGCGTCAACCCCGGCCCACTCACTTGACCCGCGCGTTTTCGCTTTGAAAAGGGTAAAATGTACTTTTGGTCCCCATTGTTTTTAAGGCTCAATTTGAATCCCAAATCTGATTTTAAACTCTCATTTGCTTTCAAATTTGACCTCCTGTTCCGGTCTTCTTTCGATTTGGTCCCTTATATATATATAAATTTACTATTATTCTTTTTATCCCATTTACGTTTATTTAATGTATTTGTTTATTTGTTTATTTTTTTTGTTTCTATTTTTATTTAATTATTTATCATATTATTATTATGTTCTTCATTTTATTTATTTTCTTCATTATTGCATCTTTATTTTTATTTTCATTTCTTTTCTTTTATTTATTTTTTTATCTTATTCCATCTTTTTTATTTACTGTTTTACTTATTCCATTTTTCCTTTTATTTTGTTTTCCTTATTTTAGTTACTTTCTTTATCTTATCGTATAATATGTTTCTCGACTTTTTAAGGGTATATTTTTAATCTATCAGAGATAAGCAATTTGAATCGAATTTTTTTAAATTTTAGTTTAAATTTTAATTTTCGCGATTAAAGACAACCAATAAATTTAATTGGTACCGAGAGGGCGGTTCAAGGGTGCTAATCCTTCCTTGACCGTAACCGACTCCCGAACCCGACGCGTT